TATGTAGGTCGACATCGCGATTCCACAACCCTCCTCGTTTCCTGGTGAGGCGTATCTAAAACAGACAAAACACAACGCACTTATCTATCCCAGCTGCCACCGCAGCCAACACACTCGCACATTTCGATTTGCCAAATCTGTCTAGTGCATCACACAGTGAACACAGGCTAAATCCTCACCAATCACATCAATCCTAAGGCACTGAATCAAAACTCACCGTGGTGCGTAAATTACGGCTAAGGAGACGAAATAGCCGTTGGTTAGACCCAGGATTATGATGAGGATGATTGGGACGGCGTCATGGTAGAATGCCACAGGAATAATGCGAGAGCCAATGTTGCAAAACATCGCCAATGGCACAATCACGAAGCGAACAACGGCCAGACACAGGAAGAGCTTCTTTTGGTCGAATTTGGGCTGCCAAAACACCAAAAAACCTGGTAAATGCCACATGCACACGCATCACCCACACAGACAGGTCATGTAAAACTACTTTGAAACGAAAACCTGTGCAGTCTGGTGCCAGGAATTGTGGCTACCTTTGAATACGTAGTCATGCAACGATAAACACATTCACTCGACTTCATGCAACTCCTGATTTAAACGTACCCACTTCACAAATCTGACAAGCATGCGTCCCAAGTAGTCACAAATGTTGAAACTGAGGAAGACAACTACGGCATGGAAATACCTTGCTGAAACACAATGAAAAGGTGACCAATCAGTTGCCGTAAGCGGTCATCCAACAATCTTTTAGCATCAAATTTAAAAGCACTGATACGCAACGTGCTGCTGCTGCAGCTGCATTGTTCAAATAACTGCAACTACTCACTGTGCCACACATTGGTTTCGTCAAAGTTGTTTGGAATCACCAGCACGAAAACATTTGGAAACACAGTCAATGTAGCTGTGAATGTGAGAAAAGCCGTCAATCCGGTCCATCTGACTTCCCACATTGCATGCCAGAGGTTAACGATTATTCGTTTGACCTTTATGCTGCACGGACTCTCATCGGTTACCACATTGCTACCTAAAATAGACCGTGATCACTTGTCATCTGACCTCAGGTCTAACACCTACGTGACTAAGGCAACGAACCTTCACTTTTCCAATAATATCGGAAATACGCCTAAACAAACACAAAATAACGTGTTACAACGCGAACAACAAACCACCAACATAAACACCAAGTTTACATACGTTTTTGAAGAGGAGGACAAACAGGCAGATCGTGAATGCAATTATGCACGTGGCAATAATGAAGTATGCAAAGCCAACATCCAAGGGGGTGCTCGCCGCTGAAATTGTAATTATGTTAGCCACCGACGCAATTATCCCGGCAACCGCCTACAGGACAAACAATTCGTCACTCACACCACCAATAACCATCGTATGCACTTCTGCTTACTCCTTACCTGGCCTTCAAGAAAACCGCGAGCATTACTTCCTGGTAGGAACGAAAGAATGCCGTAGGTGCTTCCTTGATTTATCGAACTCCCAACTACACTTTCAAACCAACACAATGCGAACCTACCGTTACTGAGGGCAGCAATCGTCAGTGTGAGAATAAAAAACACGTATGTTTCTAGCAATGAATGATCAGAATGGTAGGCACACCTGTTGCCACTCTCGTCAGTGTAGTGGTTATAATAAACATTGAGAGCATTAATACAGCAGAAGCAAGCAGGCGGTAAAACACCGGAATACTGCAAAATCAACAATTACACAAAACAAACCAATCCTTAATCATCAAGTTCAGTATGTTGCAGATCGACAAGGGGACCATTGAGCAAATTGTCAAGTAACTAGAAAACACAGTCTGGAGTTGCGTCCTATACATCGGCAGCAGTGGATTCACATCACTTGGCAGGCTCTTATTCCGAAGTTGGTATTGAAAATACTGAGACCGTCAGCATTTCGAGCATCTTACCTGTGTTGCATTGATAAAAAAATTCCACGGCAAGAGTGTGCCAATGCCAATACAAAAGAAAATAAGATACACGAGTCGACACCTGAACAATTAAAGCCGAGTAGAGCAAACCTGTCCTTCGGTGCCGCTGCATTACTGGCTTCCATTTCAAGCGCACTACCACCTAGTCTTACGTTGTTACTCTCACGTGTTTCATCCATTTCTTTGTGGAATGCTGCTTTAAGCAGATATCGCAGGCTCCCGCACTGACACGAGACCTAGCCAATGATTTGCTAAGTTCACCGTAGCCAATCCGCGATTTCAGCTTGGACAATCCAAACAAATCTCGAAGGTATTTTAATTCATTGAACCAATACCAAACCTACTGAAGAAGAGAAGCATTAGAAGAAAACACAAGTAAAAGTGAATGTGCTTTGTGACACAATAATGGTCCATTTGGACGCAGAGTGGATTACCCGAGCTCCTGACGTGAAATCGTGACAGATGTTATGCCCTTATCCTAACAAAAATCAAATCGAATAACCACCAAACACCCCCACTGCCTCATTTGAATGCTAAGCTTCTTGAAGCAGTGTGACATGTAAAGAAAACAGTCTTTTGTTGTTTCGACTACTAATCATTTACGGTAAAACGCTAATGTTGTCCGTGTGGGAGGTGTCTCACAGATTAATGTTACCAAACAATTGACTGAAATTCTATAATTTGCCAAACAACTTAATACAGTTTTTTATCTATTGACGTATTGACAACGACTGTCAAGCATAAGAAGATGAACCTCCTTACGGGCATGCTTGAATCTCTGTGAGCAGTTGATGTGCATAATATGATGATGAGCACGGTTGACAGTCATTGATGGAGCGACTGGAACTAACCATTGGCTTAATCCACGGAAAGACCATCTTTATCGTACGCACAGCTAATCCCCAACGAGTACAATATCTGTCATTTCTGCAGCCTTGTCGTTGCGAATGGAATGAAAACAGGTTCATATTGCGGAAATTGAGGTCATTGAACGCTTCGATATTATTTTTGTACTGGGTTAAACTGAGAGTCACTAGTGAGAAAATTAAACTGCATTACGTCCACCAAATTGCACAGGTCCAGACTACTGAAGAGGTGAGAATTACGAGGGACGTCGGACACACATTAGTACAATTTATCGCTCAAGTTCCATTTATGACAAAAGTAACATGGAGATGCGGTGTGGACACGCGGAACTTTTCAAGGTGTGGAGTGCTGAGGCTTCAAGACATGCGCCGACATAGATGACAACGTGAAGCATCACGGCTCAGAACAATGCGCGCTGTGTTGTAAGATCGGACGTAAAATGTACCCAGGTAGTCGGATCGGATTTATTGCATTACAACGTCAATGAGGGCTGAATCGCACCATTAGGCTATGGTTGAATGGCACGTAGTGTTTACTGCAATATAAATACAAACCGTGCGTTGATATAACTAGGGCCATACTTAAAGTAGGAGACGATTTATTGGGACCTAATTACCTTCGATGACTCACGAATTCTGGGTGGCACTGGTAAAGAAGGCAGTTTGCGACGTTCCATGGAATGAAATAATGTTATTGAACTACACGAACTCGTCTAAGTATGGTTAGCTATAACAGAACGCGTTTTGTGTGCAGAGGTGGTGTTTGTGAGCTCATCAGCTGAAGGCATCCCTTTGTGCTATTCCTGTCATCAGGTTTCTGGAACGAGCCCTAGTGCTCTACCAACGGGATGGGATTGATGCCGTAGTCCTTGTGCTCAATCAAAAAACCGATCAACTAGTCAGACTGTGTGTTTGTCAGCCTTTCCCATTTGGTTCGTGTGCTTCGTTTGATGGAATAACTTGCACGAGTGGCACCTGTATCCATTACTCGATGGTTGTTTCGTTTCGTAATTCTGTCTACATATTCGTGTGCCGCTTATCCTTCCACTCTAGGATTATCTCAATGCCCTTTTGTCATCTCTTTACAAAAGTTGAGGTCTTTTAGTATTTAGCACCAACATAAGCGATAGCGGACATTTGCGTCGAAATCAAAGAGAACCAAATGCAATGCGGGAAAGTGCATTTATTTAATTTTTTTAAACACTAGCTATTACGGCAATAAGTAGAATAAACGTTACGTGTTATACAGTAAATGCGCAAAACGATTGGATTTCTTAACCCTATCGGCCATATTTAATAGTGTTCTGACAAACCAGCTTTGCACCAAAATGTGTTCTGCGAAAATGATATGACAAATCCTACACGCAGTGACTCGAACTCACACTAACTTACAACACACTACATCCGCAGAAATCATACACTGAAACTGAATTAATTCATGAGTGATCACGTTGTTGGTTAGGATTACAGCTTGTCAGTGTCCCAAGAGCATTCTACTGACTTTGCATGCTCTTGTGTTCAGGAGTCCATATAGGTCTTCGGAGTGATTGACGTGGTGATGTGGCCAGGGATACATGTCCTCCACACGAATCTCTGTGTCACGTTCACTGCCGACGATTGACTAGCATGTTGAGTGATGTGGAATTCAAGTTGTAGAAGACGAATATCCCCTCATGCCTTTTTCTAGACAACTGATCCCACTCTAGTGGTGTCTGGGTGATGTGCAAAACCAATGAGACGTTTCGTGTTTACCTAATGGTCCCCGTAACCAATGTAGGTGACTGGAAGGCACGATTGTAATGCACCGTGGAGCTGTTTGGTTTTTTCATAGAAAGAACCGACCGCGATGCTTGTTGCTATCTTTCTCGTGCAAAATTCAACAGTTGAGGTGGTTTGGTAACCAAATGTACTAAACGGAGGCCTGACCAATCGGAGCCACTGGTGTACATTTTGCAGAAGCAGAATTGTTTCATTCCTTCCGTACTTCAGAAGTGTTGCTCTGCGACTGGACATTTCAATTGGTAATCTGACCGAACCATTGTCTGTTCTCTCAGACCCTCGTTTATCGGATCAAAACTGAATGAAACGTAGAATATCTCCAGCATAATTAATGAGGATGCACCTGGTGATTTGACAGATCAGCCACGTAATTCCGGGTCAGGAAATGCATGACACCGCACCCCACTGTGACTGGCATGTTTCATCCATGCGAGATTGCACTAGAGCAGGCACGGTTAGTTGACACGCAT